AAGTGGCTCAAATTCTGAAGTTCTATCTGTTTTTTTTTTTTTTTTTCTCTTGTCCTGAGTGTTGGCTTATAGCCAACTGCTTTCTAAAAAGGTAAGTTTGGCTCTGAAGAAAGTTTCTGAAACTCATTACAGTTTTAAGAATCTGGAGAAAATATAAGTGGTGCTCTGAAGTGATCTAAATCTGTGAGTTAACTTGCACTGAGAGGTGGACGGCACAAAGAAAATCTTCCTCCTTAATGTCATTGCTTCAGCAGAACTTTCTCTGTCAAAAGTTGCCATTGTTGAGGAAACTGGATTTAATTTTGTAGACTTCATGGTGTTTTCTGGTGCCCACCAGAAGACAAGTCACTAAAATTTAATCATGGCCTGATGGTCAGAGCTGATGAAAACCTGCATTTCCCATGGATCTATCTGCATCAGAGGGAGTAATAGCTCATTGCTGCTCTAGAAAGTAGATCCAGAGTGTCCAAAAGGGGTTATCAGACCCGAGGTATCAAAGTCATAAAGATAATCTTGGAAGTGTGGACTTCTAAGTTATTCAGCACACCTTCTTAGGCATTTTGTCTGTCTGAATTTGTGTTTGCATTTGCTTGCACAGCAGTAGGAATATATTTGAAGCTTGTAAGAGTTTAAGAGATTGAACGTACATATTGAAGTTACCCTTAAGATTTGACTTGTCTTTGTCTCTCGTTTCAGATTTCAATGCCTGTGCAAGAGTCTACCTTTCAGATCTCGTGGGATGCTATGTGCTTGAGCTTGCCAATTGGACTGGTATGGCAGCAAGCAGGGTCAGATGCATTCAAGAGCATGTGGGCAGAAGAAGGTAGGGAGGTGGACCCCCCTGTGCATAGCCACTGTTTTCACACTGTGTACACAAAGTCATAGATCCTTTTGAGATTAGGGCTGTCTAAGGCAATTTCATTATTACATATTCCCAGACTTGACAGTGTCTGCAGGCAGAATGGTGTCTGTGAGCTCTAAAGATTTTTTATCTCCTTAAAATACAAGCAGCCCCTGAATTAATGAAATGAATCAGAAAGAAAAGTATTGCTTGAATTTAAAAGCAAGCATCATCTGTATTTAAACTACAAACTTATCTGTCCTTGATTAAGTCTCTCTGACAGTTTGTATCTTTGCTCTTAGACCTTCAATGTGGATACAGTAAAGATATGTAGCCACACTGGAGCCCTAAAACAAAACCAGGTCCAAATTTGGAGGAAAACGGACAAATTTTACTTCATTCCCTGAGGAGTCCAGAAAATATTACAAACACTGTCAATCTTCCACCTCAGTATCCTCATGCTTGGTGAGCAATAACCTGCAGTGTTACTTACTAGGTGGGTGTTACATTATTCTCTGACATGTCTGATGTGGTATGTAAAGTATCAAACCATAATGTCTGTATGATCACTACTAATCAAGAAAAGAGATTTCCCACACAGTCTGCCTCCATTACTTTATCTATTCTGCTGGCACCTGGCATCAAGCCAAAAGAGAGTAAATCTTACTCATTTTCTTGCCTGCACAAAGCAGGACAACATTGCTCAAGACTGCAGGCAGCAGTTTAATCTGTTCTTTGGTGCCTTGTGAAAAAAAATTTTGGCCAAAAATTACTTGTCTTTCAAGATAGGAGGGGAACAGGCAGTTCAGTTCTCTTAATTGGTATATATATCACTCCTTAAAACTAGATGTGTGTCTACAAAAAAGAAACAAATAGCAATTAACCGTTGCAATTTGTAGTCAGTAAGAGAATCACTTGCATTTCGTTGCTCCCATTTTACAATATAATGTCACTGTGGTCTGATACTCCTTTTTAAATTCATACAGTGACCCTGCACTCAGTGTAAACCAAAGAAGTCACTTATTTTTATCTCTTACAGTTTATATCAAAGGATCTCAAAGCACTTCAGAAAGAGAAGATGCCCGACGTTTTTTTTGAGAGAATGGTCAGGAGTCTTTTGCAGATCCATAAGTATGCACAAAATGTATTTGCATTTCTATATGAATAACTACTTTTCAGTATATGAACTATATAGTTTTGATTCTAATTGCTATGTTTACTACGTTTTGATTCTTCCTTTATTTTTTAAATTTAACATTCCCAAGAGCTTTCTGTTGACTTCTAGTAGAAAAGTTCATAGAATTGGAATACTTTTCCTACTCCTGCTCTACAGTTCTTCCTCAGATTAAATTCCTCAGCGGTGTTAAAATGAAGATAAGACAGAGACTGCAAAATCATGCAGCATTTGCTTAATTTTAAATGAAGAGTCTCTAAAAAGACCATTAAAGATGTGAAACTAAATGTGTCACATTCCATAGTTTCTCCCTTGAAATTTTACTATTTTAAGTTATTTTTATGGCAGTGTAATTTCTTTGCAGCTTTCAAAATAATCCATTTCCTCTAAAAGATGGCCAGTTCATCTGTTTATTTTTTTTTTTTACAGAAGTCTCTAAATACATCAATTTTCTGATAACACATGAGAAACCCATTACTGTGCTCATCTTATCTACAAATTAAGTTATTGGTGTGCCAGAAAACTCATTGAATATTAAGAGCATAAACACAAGCAAACCACATCTCTACCTGATTCATTTTAAGTTTGAAGTTTACAGGTCATGCTTTATTTCAGGAACATATGGTAGTTTGCAAAAGCTGCTTGGGATCTTGCTTTTAGCCCACTGCTGTGCTTCTGTTCCAAATAGAGTTAATGTTAAACCCATCTCTTTGATTCTCAGTAATATATGCATCGCAACGACTAAAGCATTTCCTTAATAGTACACCCCCTATCAAACTCTAGCATCTTAATTCTTATGACTACTCAGCAGTGAAAGTTAATTCGGTCTTTGTTTTACCTGTATCCATTCTGTTCATCTTTGAAGTTTTGAAAAGCCTGTTTTAAATCAGAACATTAAGTGCAAGAACCTCATAGTAAATATGCAGTGAATATTATGAATGATTAATATTTAGGAGATGAGTGATCTTCTGAGGACAAAGGTAAATTAGTACAGCCCCTTTTTCTGTATGCCAGCTGCCCATGAACAGTCACCTTATGAAGGCTTATTAAGCTCATATACAAAGAAAATCAACCTCTGAGTTACTTCAATAACTGTTTTCAGGAGAAGTTGCTATTCGTGTTGCATTTCACCCTAATTCAAAGCAAGGATTGACACTAAATAGTTGCAGAAGATATATAAAGAATTTAAAGTCACAGGTGTTGTGAAGAACACTGAAAATATTAACATAGGAAAGTAACATCCAATAGCAGCAATAAAGATTAGTATTGAAACAGGTTTTGTCCCTTAACTTTTCTTTTTTCTCCCCACAACCAAGCAGACAGCTGACATGAATCTGATTACTATGTCATACAAAAAAAGACCATAATGTAGTTCCAATCATGTTAAAATTTGGTCTCTCCAGCTCTTCGTTCAGCAATATTGAAACCTACAGGTGTAGTCACAGAGGAAGTTTTATGGTACAACGTATTAGATTGGATGACTAATAGAAAGAGGAAAGTAGTATATAACAAAATCCTTACATAAGTTTTGTGCACATGAGCATTCATTATAATCCTTTTTTCCCAAGGAAAAATGTTGTTGACACAAAAGCAGAAAGACCATTGAAGTGGTTGTGACTAGTGGTGGGAATTAAAAGTGGTTACGACTCGTGGTGGGAATTAATTTCTGGTTTGGCGTTTTTTTGTTGTTGTTGTTTGTTTATTTGTTTTTTCTTATGGGGTGATTTCACAGTTTTGTTTCTTGCTATGCACTCTCCTCTGTATAGCAACTTTCGGTCTCCTCGTACTGACGGTAGCACCTCTTACACCAGGCCCCAAAACACATTAGGGAGCGAGTGGGAGAAACCAGTGGGCCCAGCATGAACTCCTCTGTCTGTGGAAATCTCTCTGATTTCAGGGAGGAGATGGAAAGTCCTGGTAGTCTCTTATGTTTAGCACTTTCAAAAATGGTCTTTGGAAATGTAACAAGCCGAAGTTGTTCCTTTCTTTTAACAAGTAGTAATTCCAGAAAATATTTGCAGATCAGTGACTTGGTCTAGATTTGCACTAAAAGAAGTAAAGCTTAGGTCTGTTTTTTCATTCTGTATAATCCTTCAAGGAGATTTTAGTGAAGTCTTTCTTTCTGTGATGCAGATAGTCTTACTGAAGTGTCTGAGCATTCCAGTACTCATTTGGGGGCTACTTTACCTAAACTCTGTGCTTTCTGAATTTGTCTAAGAGGTCATAAGTGAAGACTGCCTTTCTGATGGGTCACCCTGGTGGCTCTCAGTCTTGAGTTACTGAACAGTTGTACTGCTGTCCGTATAGCCACAGGAAATAAAATTTTCTTGATGTAAACACAGTGGAAATAATGAATTGCAATGTCTTTTGAACATTTTATTCTCTGTGAAGCTGAACTGTCGAGAAAGAGACTCAATCAAGTTCAGTAAGTTCAATGGTGTTCAATCTGAAGACAATAAACTCTCTACCAACTATGTTGAGAAGGAATTTTTTTTTTAATCCAGCATGAAAAATGAATCAATGTTTTAGTATTTTTTAGGGCAGTAGCATTGCTATTACAGTGATTTGCTTTTGAATGAAATTTAAGGTCTGTCCTTATGTCTATTTCCTTAAAAAAAGCACAGGCTAATGATCTATTTCAGGTCTAGAAAATTTGAACATCTATGATAAAGTTCTATGACTGATAATGGCTTCAGAAAGTCAGTAAATCTCTCAGCCTGAGGGTGGCATTCAAGCAGGAAAAAAAAAAGTGCTGCGAAGATTAATAGGTAAAATAACAAAAAAATCTTATTTTTGCCGGAAATAAAATTTAGAAATTACCTTCAAAAATAAATACTCTTGGAAAAATACAGTTTACTTGGTGAGACCTGCAGCAGTGTCTAATTGTTCAGCAGCATGCACATAGGCTTGTGACAAGAAAGGGAGGAGGAATAATTTTTCCCTGCGTTAAGAATAAGGATAAAGGTTCATAAAGTGAATATTTACCCAATTTACAGTTCTGGCATCCATCTAAACACGGTACGCAATCTTCAGAGTCAGGATCTTCTACTTCACCTGTGTTTTGCAAATCATCAATTTTGGGTTAATTCTAGGTAATGGAAAGCCAACATTTGGAAGCACTTAGCAAGGTTCCTGGAAATAAACTTTACCTAAATCCAAAAAGGAGAAAGATTCACAGCAATTTCTTTTCTCATTTGAGGAAAATACTTGTATTTTATATTAACATGATATTAGAGGAGAATCAGAGATGGAGTTTAAGGACCTCAGGATCAGGTGAGATTGTATATATCAAAACAGGAACCAAGATCCTTAACCAGATTTCCATAACAAATTAAAGAGAACATTTGTTAACTTCTACTGAAGGATTCTTACCTTCTCTACAGCTATGCTTCTGACACATGTTTTGAGCAAAGTAGTAGCCTCTGAAACATCTTTTGCAGTGGCTGGAGTTCAGGCATACCTCGCAGTGGTCAGAGCAAGCCACGCAAGTATGTTCTGAATGGTAGTGACCTGGAGGACAGCTCTCCCTGCACTCTCCATGATACAGGAAACGTTCAGTCCCTCTTCTATCTGTATGGCAAGGAAATAGGAAAAACATGTCAGCAATAGAGGACATTCAGGCATAAGAAGCAGCTTTATGAAGCACTGATGCTGCAACGGATTAGAATTAATATTGTTCATTGACAGCTAGACTTGTGCGGTTTTTCACCAGATGAGCTAAAATGTATACAATTTTCAGGAGATCAAACCTTCCGCATTCCTGGAGAACTGTGACATATAAATATGTCACACTAGTGAATAATTAATATTTATATCCATCAATCTAATAAAATAAGGATTGAGAGATTTTCATTACTGAGTTACCTTGCAGGGAACATACAAGTATTTGTACTGTACATGAGGATGTAGAGTTGCCATTAGGAAAGCAAAGCTGCCTACTTCACCTTTAGAAAGAACCGGTCTGTGTCCTTAGTAGGTTAAACTGTAATCCTCATGCTAGCCACAGCTAGACTCTGGAATAATTTAGTTTTGAATCTGAAGAGCAAGTGTGCATCTATTTTCTCTCAGAGTAACAGCATTCTCTAGTGCATGGGGAACTAGGAGGTTCCCTGCATCAAATCCTGTTGAATGAAACCTGTGAAAACACATACAACTCCATGTGCCACATGCTGCAGTATGAGGAGTTTTATATTGGGTTACCTACAGTATAAATTACATACCTCATTGTGCTAAGTGTATTTGATTTCTTTAACTATAGTTTATTTAAAAAAAAATAAACTAGTTACCATAGTTTATTTTTGAAACTGCAGAGAAATCAGCTATAATAGGGAATAATTGCTGTACCATAGCAGAAATATTCAGACTTTGTTTCTTTTACTTTTCATGTACAAATCTTTAGAATTATCTTTTCCAGTCTCCTCAGGGTGTGACTCTCATCAGTGTCTTAATTTCTTAATACACAGAAATATAGAAATTTATATTGCGCTCCATCACAGGGAGAGACTTAGGGAGCAATTATACAAACTCCCTCATATTGGACCTGAAGTACCACTTGAAAACTTTGTCTACTCATTCACGTTTTCCAAAGTGAGAAAGTCAATCTCATAATCAGTATGACAAATCAATGGCAGCCATACTAGTGTTTTCTTCTGATCTAGACACTTATTACTAAATGAAGCCTGGACCATTAATAACTAGGTCTAAAACGGAAGTAGGAGCTGAAAGGAAAAGGCTGTGAACCCTCAGAAAAGCTTGTAATAAGTAACATATTGTGCTTTGTTCATTAAACCTGTATGGGAAGGTATGGATGGAAGATTTATGTGCCCGCAAGGCTTGATAGCCTAACCGAAGGACATTCTTGCATAAGTCAACAGGACCCATAGCTGAGGGGGTTGAGTAGTCACATTCTTGCATAAGTCAACAGGACCCATAGCTGAGGGGGTTGAGTAGTCACATTCTTGCATAAGTCAACAGGACCCATAGCTGAGGGGGTTGAGTAGTCACATTCTTGCATAAGTC